CGTGCTGCCTTCCGCGCAGAGCCTCCCGCCGCCCAGGCCCGCCACGGGCATATGCAGCGCACGGTGGGTCCGGGCAGGGGCAGCGCAGAGCGGGCAGGAGCCGGGTTGGCGGAAGGGGCCGAATCCCCACTGCTGCCAGGGAGCCTCGCACCTCTCCCTCCCGCTTGCGGCTGCGGCTCCTTCCCGGCAGGATGCGCCTCCCGCCTCCCTGGCCACATGCGGCGCGCGTCCCCCACGCCTAGTTTCCCTCCCGCCGGGAAGGAGCAGCTGGACGCGCGCCGCATGTGCCCAGGGCAGGCCGGGGGGCGCGTCCTGCCGGGAAGGAGCTGCAGCCGCGAGAGGCGCGGGGCTCCCCGGCAGCAGCAGGGATTCGGCCCGCGCCGCCCACCCAGCCCCTGCCCGCTCCGCACTGCCCCCGACCGGACCCACCGTGCTGCCCCGCGGGCTGCAGCAGCCTCCAGGCTGCGCTCCCGGCCCCAGGTGCAGCGGCCCGGGCAGGAGTCCTCTGGCGCAGCGGGGGGGTTCACAGCTGAGCCCCCCGTCTCCCTCCCTTGCCAGCCTCCCTTTGCCCGCCCGCCCGGTGCCCGGGTGCCGGAGCTGACTCACCAGCTCCAGGATCCAGGCACCACCACCACCCCCTCCCTCCAGGCTTGACCCGCCATGCTGCAAGCCTGGGAGGGAGGAGGAATGCTGCATGGTTGGGGAAGAGGCGGGGCCAGGGCGGGGATTTGGGGAGGGAGCCAATGGGGGAAGGAGGGGGCGGAGCCGGGGCGGGGGGCACGAGTGCCAGAGTGGAGGGCAAAATTTCTTTTTTGTCCAGTGTCCCAACATTGGTCGGGACGCGGGATAAAGAAACAAATATCGGGACGTCTGGTCACCCTAGCCACGAATGCTCATGAAATTGGAGGTTGGGGTGCAGAAGGGGGTGAGGGCTTCAGCTGATGGGTTGGGGGGTGCAGGAGGGTTCTCTGGGCTGGGACCAAGGGGTTCGGAGGGTGGGAGGAGGATCAGAGCTGGGGCAGGAGCTTGGGAAGAGATCAGGAGTGCAGGCTCCGGCCACGTTTACCTCAAGCAGCTCTCAGAAGCAGCAATGTGTCCCCGCTCTGGCTCCTCCACAGAGGCGCAGCTAGATGGCTCTGTGCGCTGCCCCGTACAGAGGCATTGCCCATGCAGCTCCCATTGGCTATGGTTCCAGGCCAATGAGAGTTGCAGGGGTGGCACTTGGAGCAGGGGCAGTGTGCGGAGTCTTCTGGCTGCCCCTACGCATAGGAGCCAGAGAGGGGGACATGCCAGTGCTTCCAGGAGCCGTATGGAGCCACGGCACACGCAGAGCAAGGCAACCCCCCCCCCCAACCCCGCTCCCCGGCTGGAGCACCAGAGCAGAGCAAGCCCCAGACCCCACTCCCTGGCAGGAGCTTGAGGGCCAGATGTGGCCCCTGGGACGTAGTGTGCCCACCCCTGCTCTTTGCTGTGTATTTCTCATGTGTTGCATTCAAGTGTGATCAAATTGGCAACCACCACAACTATAGTAGTCATAAACAGACACAGGGACAGAATCAGACCACAAACAGTATCCAAGAGATGGGCCAGAGAGCTCTATGTTAACGAGATAGATTCAGTCCCAATGTGGTCAATTTATTTATTTTTTGTTATACTTTGTAGGGTTGTTGCTGACTCTCTTTTGCTCATATTAATTGTACATTTAACCAATTGTCAGAGGTACACTGAACATATGACAGGCACTCCCTAACTTTATAAACCTCAAAAATAATAGAAGTGAAATTATGGACAGGCAGCAAGAATAAACAGCTCAGATACAGAAAGGCGAGGTTATAACTAACCAGCTGCTCCACCACTTTAAAGAAGAGTTTGTGTTCATAGAAATCCACAGCCAGACAGATACTATCCAGCTATAAGTTCAGGGCTGGAAAGGGAGGTATGTGTGATAGGGATCACTGAGGAAGTGGCCATGGAATGGAAGAATGTAACAATCTGGGGGTGTAGTGAAGGGGTTCTCAAACTGGGGGTCACAACCCCTCTGGGGGTCATGAGATTATTACATGGGGGTCACGAGCTGTCAGTCTCTACGCCCAAACCCCGCTTTGCCTCCAGCATTTATAATAGCGTTTCATATAAAAAACTTGTGTTTAATTTATGAGGAAGGGGTCGCACTCAGAGGCTTATTGTATGTAAGGGGCCACCAATATAAAAGTTTGAGAACCACTGGTGTAGTGAAAGCAGCAACTTGGCCCCAGTTGCCCCCAGGCGCTTCTGAGAAAGCTCAGGGAACCTGCCCTACCAGAGATTAGTTACAACAGTCGGGGCGTACACTACCCTGCCTAACCTCTATGGGGACAACAGAACAGGCACAGAAAACCCCTACCCCGTCCCTAGGAAATACAGACCGCTACACTGCACCCCCACATGCCCCGCCCCCCAGCTCCTCTCCGGACCTCCCCCCCCCACATGCCCCGCCCCCCAGCTCCCCTCCAGACCTCCCCCCTCCACGTGCCCCGCCCCCCAGCTCCCCTCC